ATTGTCCCGGAATTTATCGGCGTTTTCGATTTTGAATTAGCCTCCAAACATTGGAACATTTCGTCCAATAATGTATCATGTTCGACACCGTCCAAGCCGAAGCCCTCATACAATTTCTATGTCGTGCCAATTAGGGAGCCCAAGAGCTTGAATATGGATCCGCCTGTGCATTTACTCAATTTTATCTTCTTGAAGTAAATTAAGATTATTTTTCTCCATCTATAATATAACCGTCAATCAGCGGGACGAAAGAATCCCGGGAGGTCATGTCGACCTCGATTCTATTCAGTCGTCGAGATCCTCAAATTTAAAGAGGTGATAATGCAAGGCACGGTAGAATTCGAGCACAAAGTCGGAGGTCGTCAAATCGGAGAGCGAAGCCTTAAAACGATCATGGGGTGGATATAAATGAGGGAACGGATATTATTATGAATAAAAGAATATTAAATTCAGATGGCAAGGAGCCCCTAGAAAGGGATTCCGTTCCAATATCAACAGGACAAGAATAATATTCTAATTTATATTTATCCTATCTTACCGAAGATTCGAAATTCTTCGATTAAAATAAAAAGCAAAAACATGCACGAAATCAAGTTTCTTTCAATTACCTATAACGTCAAATCTCATTCGGTCCGTCGCTCTTGAAAGAACTCAACTCCGAAATATAAGGCGATTTCAATATTATATCAAAATCTATTTATATATATAATATGATTTTTATCTAAAAAATTAAAAAATATATTTAAAGAAAATATTGATGAATATGTTTTGTTATCAAATATATCCCAGAAACAATTCTCTCACGGGTTAATTGGCAAAAGAAACAATATTTATAGATATTATGAAAATTGATTGATTTATATTATAATGAAAATAGTTTTTTAAAAATTAAATATAGATATTATATGTTGATTGTATTTAATATTTATATTTTTGCTTAAATATATATAAATGAAATATATATTTAAAGAAAATATTGATGAATATGTTTTGTTATCAAATATATCCCAGAAATAACTCTCTCACGGGTTAATTGGCAAAAGAAACAATATTTATAGATATTATGAAAATTAATTGATTTATACTAGAATGAAAATAGTTTTAAAGAATTAGATATAGATATTATATGTTGATTGTATTTAACATTTATATTTTTGCTTAAATATATATAAATGAAATATAGTAGTTTTAAGATATATGTATTTAAATATCTAAATATAATAATCGAAAATATTGATAAGTGAATATTCTTATCCCCATATAATAACGTATTCCTTTTCTAATCAAATCCATAGGATCTTGTTCGCAAGGTAAGGACGAATCCCGTCCCTAATTACCGGTTTATCATAAATATACCTCAAGTAATCGCTTGGAATCATTATTTGCAAATTTCTATGGTTGGAGTTATTTTTGATAGCCTTCAATGTTCCTTTGTTAGTCCGGCGTCAACGACCCCTGAGAATATTATGCATTTATATTAATTTCTGATTTGGATATGTATTTGAATATTATTAGGTTTCAATTCGGTATTTATAGTCCGCGGCACGAATTTTTAATATCCGAATCCGCCCGCACCGAAGGTGCTGAGGCATTTTATGAGGTTCGCATTATACCGCAAGTACCGCAAGTACTAATAGCTTTAGCTGGGGGGAGAGCATTTTCGCTCTAGAATCCTGTGTTTTTCGCGTTTTTGGAACCGGCTTAAAGTGCTGGAAGATAAATTCGTGCTAATATTTGCTATCTTGAAGCCTTTAGTGATGCAAGAAATGCAATTTTCTGTTTTGCATCATCTGCATCATCTGAATCATCTGAGCGATACAATGTAATTGGATTGAGACCGGACATTTGGCTGAACAGGTTCCCCTAACGGGGCTAAACATAGTTTCCATATTGCATAACATAGCCCTAGAAGTCACTATCTAATGGACGTGTCTGCGAGATAGGGATTTGAACGTCCGGGTATGTGAGGAGATCAGGTTCAGGAACGGTAATATTATCTCACGAGCATAGCTCCCATATGGTCGAACATAACCCCAGAAGTCACTATCTCAAGTATGCTTCCCCGAGATAGATACTTGAACGTCGTAAATATGGCCCAACGAAGGCTCAAAAGGGACTGGAATAGAGTGAAGATATTGCCTAACAGAGCCCTACAAATCACTATCTAAAAGACGTGTATGCGAAATAGGGACTTGAATGTCGTAAATTGGAATAAAACCCCCCCCCTAACGCGGCCAAATATAACTTTCATATTGCCTGACATAGCTTTAGAAGTGATATTTGGCTCCACAGGAGCAGAGATAAACAGAGATCACGTCCAAGAACGGTAATATTTTCGCACGAGTAGAGCGTGCATATAATCGAACATAGCCCAGAAATCATTATCTCAAGCATGCTTCTTCGAGATAGGGACTTCAACGTCGTAAATATGGCCCAACGAGGGCTCAAAAGGGATTGGAAAAGCCTGCAAAGTCACTATCTCAAGCATGTCTCCTCGAGATAGGGACTTGAACGTCCGGGTACGTGGCTGGTCAGGAGCAGAGATAAGGAAAGATAAGGTCCAGGAATGTTGGTCAGGAGAGAAGATCAGGAAAGATAAGGTCCAGGAATGGTAATATTTTCTCACGAGCATAGCTTCCATATGATCGAATATAGCCCCCGAAGGCATTATCTCAAATATGTTTTCTCGAGATAGGGCCCCGAACGTCGCAAACACCCTCTCGACTTCCATATTGCCTAACATCTATTTGGCTCCACAGGAGCAGAGATAAGCAGATCAGGTCCAGGAACGGTAACATTATCTCACGTGTACAGTTCCCATATGGTCGAATATAACCCCAGAAGTCATTATCTCAAGTATGTTTCGCCGAGATAGGTACTTGAACGTCGTAAACATGGCCCAACGAAAGCTCAAAAGGGATTGGAATAGAGTGAAGATATTGCCTAACATAGCCCTAGAAGTCACTATCTAAAGGACGTTTCTGCGAGATAGGGATTTGAACGTCGTAAATTGGGGCTATGTTCGGCAATATGGAAGCTATGTCGGGCCACATTAGGAGAACACGTTACCGTTAATTGACTTTATCTCTGCTTATCTCTGCTCCTGTTGAGCCGAATGTCCGGCCTATCTTGAGCGATCTTGAGCTTGCGACGTTCAAGTCCCTATCTTCCTTTCATATTGATTCCCTTGGCTCCAAGAGCACAAGAACCCGTTCCAAATCGCGTTCCTTCCTGAAGCTCTCTCACCTCTTACCCGACCCGCAAAATGGCAGCAGTCTTTTAACCCCCCAACTACGATTATTGCATTTGAAAAAGCATTCGTTGGGCCATGTTAAATCCCTATCTCGAAACATGGAATCTATGTTCGGCCACGTTGGGGAGGGGGGGCTATGTTCGGTGGAAATATTGGCCCCTTCCATGCGGTGCGGCGGTTACCGTCGCGAAGCGACGGGAATATATTTATATTGTGGCCGAGGGTTACGGTCGGGTCCCATGTTGTTTTAATCTTCTCTTATCCTAATATTATCCTCCTCGTAGTTTTTTTAATTTTCTTTTATCCTATTATTATCCTCCAAATTAATTGGCCATATTGATTGGCCACGCCCTCTAAATTCTGAGATCGAATATTTAGAAAGCTAAACGACATCCAATCCGACGTCCACGAAAACAATAGATTCATATAGAGACCTATAATCAAAGAAATAGCAATATCAACAATTTAATCCTATTAATAAATCTTCTTAATATATATATATTAATATAAATAATATTTATTTATATTATATATTTCCTTTATATATTATTATAAATATTGTTTTTTTTCCTTCGGTTTTCCCTTCCTATATTCATTCCTTTTCCCCTCTTTCTTAATAATATCATAATAATTTCGAATCTTAATATATCTATAAAATTATATCTTCAATATTCGAATGAAAATATTCAAAAAAAAAATTGAATTCCAAATAATATATAAAAATTCAAAAAAATATATAAATATTCATATATCTATTTATAATGCATATAGTAAATTTATTCCATAAATATATAAAGATATATATATATATATTAAATAAAATATATTAATAATATATTTTAAAAATAATTCGAAATATATATTTATAACGATAATTTCAATTATATATAAAATAAATATATTATTCAAATAGATATTTATATATATATATAAAATATATATTTCGATAAATATTATAAATTATAAATCTATTTCATAAATATATAATTTCAAAATATCTAAATAAATATATTCCAAACAAAATATATGTCTATTATCTTTTTTGTGTTTAAATTTAAGCCGCCCACGTCGCATCCATCATGTCCTTCCGCTAGTGTATATAATTGTTCTATTTGCGTTCGCCGGCTCTCAATTCCTTTCGTGCATTACTGATGGGCGCATCCGCACCAGCACGCCCCCAGAAACCGCCGATCCAGCACCAGCACCAGCACCTACACAGCAGCCGCGCCAGCACCCAACACCCCCGCACCAGCACCTGCACCAGCACGGGCAAAACGATACGCCAATCCAGCACAAGCACCAGCACGGGCAGAACGAAACGCCGATCCAAAGCCACACCATTGAGAAGTAAGAACCCCATATAGCTTGCAGCTCTCTGGTGAAAAAAGACGATTTTTGGACTTCAGGAATCTCCAAATTGTCCGGAAAATTGAAAGATTCGTCCGCAATTCTCGTTTCGGCCTTATCATTTTATGTCAGCGGTCATTTCCGTTTGAACTATAGGGTTTCCGGCGGGCCGCGTGTAAGGAGCCGAAGGGTTACTGTACCGTTTTATGTAATAGTATTGTATTCTTTATATTTGTTCAATAGTATTTCCCATTTGGGAATAGCAATGTGCAGGTGATACATATAATGAGAGATTTTGTTGGAAAACATTTGCATGAAAGTAATGAAGTTATATTGATTTAGCAAACATTGGAATTGGTTGTTTGTTTCAGCCAAGCTGGGGTTTCTTGAATGTGCGTGACTATGCATCATCACTGCCGGCCCCATTCAAGATCGCCTCGGGTGCGTTTCAGCGATGTTCAAGAAGCCCAATCAGTTGAATGGTGCCATGCAACATGCAGATCCCACTTCTATCCCACTTCTCCAAATCCATCAGCCTTCCTAGATCTTCCCTTGCGTTCTTGTAGTACAACGCCCAACTATCTAACATCCCAACAAAACCAGCTTAAAGCAAAATTACATCTTGACCACCAAGGCCCCCAAACGAGTTCCTACCAAGGACCCATCTGAGAGACTGGCCTGACTATCAGTGCGAAAGTAATTGGAGAGGATCCAATTAAGTTCGTTCTTGGTGCTTCTGTGTGTCTGGCCACGACACGGGACCAGGAACGAAACAATGAAAATGGTTTCCAAGGTTGGCAAAGGAGCTGATGAATTTGCTGTTGGAAAGCTTGGCATTCGTGAGATGGGAGAAAGGTCAAAGAACCTCAAAGCACCAAAAAACAATCTCTTCGAAAAAATGTGCTAAGAAAGAAAGGAAAGAAAGAAAGCTGATTGGAAAGTGTGTTTTAAGAAAAATAGAAAAAGCCCATCAAAGCACCGACGCTTTTCAGAAAGAACTCTGCGATCAAAGCGAGTTCTTTTCTGCTTGGATCGAATAAATCACGGGACCTCTCCACACTAGGTTGATTGACCCAGAGAGGAACAAGGGCATCGCTACTAGGGGCTCCTGACTAGGAACAAGGACGCTACTAGGAGCAACAAACAAAATTGTGTGTGTGCCTGCTTCGATACATCCCAGGAGAGGTTCTTTCCTCCGGCCTGGAAGGATGCTTCTCTCGCACAGATTTGTGTAACGGTGCCCTGATATTTCAGACATATCAAGACGCACCACAACTTTCAGGGTGCAAAAAGAACTTCTCAGGGCATGAAGGTTCCAAAACTTCGAAGCCAACAGTTTCAGTGAACTTCTCGCTGCTGGCCTTCATGTGGTATTTGTTCTGCAAGGTGTTGAAGAACGTGAGACGCTCTCCAGGCTGGCGACGCTGTCTTTGGAAGCGCAAGGCGGTGGTGGAACTACAGCTGGGCCTCAGGTCGATATTAATGGAAGTAGAAAGCCAATTTGCGTTGGACGGTGGTAAAGAACTATTTTTGCAGGTCCCTGCAGGTCCCAACATTGCCCGTCCCTCTTTAATACAGGGCACTACGAATTCAATGCCAAACACGCACCAAACCCTGCACGTCATTGGCTCTCAACCAACGAATAGACAACCAAGCACCCCTACTTGCAGTGAAGGGTGCTACTAGGGGTTCCTGGCCTTACTACTAAGAACAAGAAGCTACTAGGGGCTCCTGGCATCGCTACTGGGAGCAAGGACGCTACTAGTGGAACACCTACATGTCATCTTTTCACCTTTCCCACGGCCCCAGCGCACCCCAATGGCCCTGATGCGTGGTTTGCCTGCAAGCAAAAGATTTTCAAGGTTGCGTGGTGAAGCTGGGCAATCTGAAGAAGAAATTTCTGCAGTATCTCTCCACAGTTGAAGACTGACTACTTTGAGTCACTCTTGCTAACAAATCTCCGTAGTGTAATTAGAAGCGCTAAAACCACCGAACAAAAGACTTTAGACTGCCAGACTGCCTTGCTTCTCCACAAATGGTTTCATATTCTCCTGCAAGTGCGGCCTAATCCACAACTATCCATTGATACTGGAAAGAAGCGACCGATTGCAAGTGGATAACCAGCACGTGGTTCCATTAACCGTAACACCCAAATAAGTGGGAAGCTGGTTGAGGTCAATACAAACGCCTTTACAAAGCATCACAAACATCGATCCTCATCCAAAAAAGGAAGAAAGTCAAACGCAAAGAAACACATTTGTAGCACCCATCCCACTCAAGTCCTTGATGTGCGCATAGGCATCCTTCACCTTGGATGTCAGACTGCACCATGGACCAAGCTCCACGAAAGAACAGCCACTCGATGTGTTTCAAGACGTGAAGACCGGGTCTTGATGTGAGAGTCATGTTTCCTCCGCTTGTAAAAAAAAAGATGGACCCACAAACCCGAATGTAAACACGTTCGAAAAACAACATATGTCCAAATGACACTCTTGTAGGACACTCTTGTAGCACACTCTTGTGGGACACTCTTGTGGGTCACTCAGTAGGAAACTCTTGTGGGACACTCTTACGGGAAACTCTTATGGGACACTCTTCTGGGACACTCTTGTGGGACACTCTTGTAGGACACTCTTGTGGGACACTCTTGTGGGACACTCTTGTAGGAAACTCTTGTGGGTCACTCAGTAGGAAACTCTTGTGGGACACTTTATAGGAAACTCTTGTGGGACACTCTTCTGGGACACTCTTGTGGGACACTCTTGTAGGAAACTCTTGTGGGACACTCTTATAGGAAACTCTTGTGGGACACTCTTCTGGGACACTCTTGTGGGACACTCTTACGGGACACACTTGTGGGACACTCTTGTGGGACACTCTTATGGGTCACTCTTGTAGGAAACTCTTGTGGGACACTCTTGTAGGACGCACTTGAGAGTCACTCTTGTAGGAAACTCTTGTGGGGCGCTCTTTTGGGGCACTTTTGTAGGGCGCTCTTGTGGGAGCGAGTGTGGGTGGCTCTTGTGGGCACTCTCATGGGGCGCTCTTGGGGTGCGCTCTTGTAGGCACCCCCGCAGGGCAATTTTGTGGGTCACTCTTACAGGACACTCTTGTGGGACACTCTTCTGAGACACTGTTGTGGACCACTCTTGTGGGACACTCTTGTGGGGCACTCGTACAGGACACTCTTGTGGGAACACTCTTGTGGGACACTCTATCTGGGACACTCTTGTGGGACACTCTTGTGAGCCACTCTTGTAGGACTCCAGGACACTCTTGTGGGACACTCTTGTAGGACGCTCTTGTGGGACACTCTTGTGGGTCAGTCTTGGAAGCTCTTGCGGGGCACTCTTGTGGGACACTCTTGATACCACCAATCATCCCGCTCACCAGCGACACGCCGCGTTTACACCAGCATGTTTCGCGCTCCCCGTTGGCACGGCGCCACGCAAACACGCTTCCCACCAAGACCGCACAAATCCCAATGGCACTGCGGCATCACGAACGTAATTCGCCACACGGTCTGCCCACACACTGGAAGCAAACATATGACATGATACCACCAGTCATCCCGCTCACCAGCGACACGCCGCGTTTACACCAGCATGTTTCGCGCTCCCCATTGGCACGGCGCCACGCAAACACACTTCCCAAGGGCCGCGCAAATCCCAATGGCACTGCGACATCACGAACGTAATTTCGCAGCACCGTCTGCCCATACACTAGAAGCAAACATATCACACGATACCACCAATCATCCTGCTCACCAGCGACACGTCGCGTTTACACCAGCATGGTTCGCGCTCCCCAGTGGCACGGCGCCACGCAAACGCACTTCCCACCAAGGCCGTCCAAATCCCAATGGCACTGCGACATCACGAACGTCTTGTCGCCACACGATCTGCCCACACACTACAAGCGTTTTGCGCGAGACTTCCTCCAAAAGTCACGCGTACAGTCTCCAAAACGAGCATTTCGTAAGAGACTTCCAACAGTCACACGTCAAGTCTCCAAAACGAGCGTTTCGTACGAGACTTCCTCAAAAACTCCCATGTCAAAGTCTGCAAAACGAGCGTTTCGTACGAGACTTCCTCCAAAAGTCAAGCGGAAACACCCATCGGAGCACACACATCACGCATCCCTGCCAAGAAGCACTTTCGCGATTCCAGTCCCTCCAAACAACGCCTGCTCACACGCCAATCCCAATGTCACAGCGACATTCACCTCTACCACAACTCACAACCTCACGATTCCCTGCGCCTGCCACGAAACTTCCGCAACGCGCACAAAGTACTGCGCCTGCCACGAAATATCACCTCCGTCACGCCTCGCAACTTCACGATTCCCTGCACCTGCCATGAAAACCGCACTTCCACACCTCAAAGCCCGCACAAAGTGCTGCGCCTGCCACGAAAAGTGACAATATCATATCATGTGCGCTTCGCACACCACACTTTTGGAATGATTTCGACTCGTTCTGAGCACACTCCCATCCACCAAAATCGCCACTTCAGCTGAGACTTGTGACGAAAACAGAGGTTGCACGCAACGCCCTGAAATGCAAACCCCAATGGCACGGCCACGTCCAACATCCCAAAAACACCACTCTCCAAACGCTAATCCCAATGGAACTGCGCAGAGAACTGCGGATCTCACAAAACGCTGCGCCTGCGCAGTGCAATCATCCTCCGCACTTCAACACCTTACATTTCCACACGTTTCCCGGCTATTTCACACAAATCTGACTCGTCGCGTTTTCATCTGAAACCCTCTCCAAAAGCTTCCCCCAATGGCAGCGCCTTAGCGCCCTACTGCGAACGGACGGTTGCGGACGGTTGCGAACGCTGAGACAACGCGTCGCGAACAAGGCTCTACCCCCAGACCCCCAGAGTTAAACGAGAACCCTTCGCTACGCATTCGGAAAAAAATAAATAAACATTTCACGTCATGTGAACTCAATCGTGCGCCCAGTCACCATCTCGGGATTGGCCACTTTTTGCAGTGCGGAGTCGGATTGACTTCGCCTAGCTGCTCACCCACACTTCCCCACTGGAGTCAATACAAAGAGACCGCAAAAATCATGCAACAATTCCATGAAAGACAAGGTTTCCTTCATTGAATTCAACTGACTCAAACTGGCTTTGGGGCGTGGGGCTGGCTTCACAGTACCCCTGGATTGTCCTGGTCTTGCAGACTCTGAGTGCAAGCCTCACTGAAGTACCGGTAGCCATCGCCTTGGCATGTGATGGTCAAACCAAACACAACTTGACATCCCGAAAGCCTGGCCTGATTTGCATCAAATCCACGCTAAGATTTTTCCACCGTGCTCATGGGCTCGTTTCAAAAATCTAGGAACTCCCAGCTTTCCACACCAGTGCTGCACGCAAAGAGTCAACCTTTCCGTTTTCTTCGTCCTTTTGTCCAATGCTATCCCAGCTTTGGCCAAATGTTGCAAGTGCTCTCCCTAGTCGTCAGTGTTCTCCCTAGTGTCGCATCCGTCTTCTACAAATTTTGTCCCATGTGCACAAGTTGGTCTCCAATTCAACGATCCCTTGGTTAGCTTTTGTTGGTTTGTTTTCTGCAGCCCCGCCTCGGCTTCTTCTGCCCGGGCCTTGCGTTCAGCTGCCTGAACATCGCGCAAAAGTCCATGCCAAAGAAGAAAGCAAAGAAAAAACTAGAAAGCTTTATTGTTACTAGTGGTGATGGCCTCCAACCTAATAGCGATGGGCTCCACCTAGTAGCTTCTAGTTACAATTGCTGCGAGAGAACATGGAGCCCGAATCTCTTACATCAAGTGCACATGATCACCCGTTGAACCCCGCGGTGGAAATAAACTGAAATGAGCCTTCATTTAGCCTTGTTTACACTTGCATATGCACTTATGCTTGTTTTCCTTCTTCTTTCCTTTCCTTTCCCAATTGGAAGCGCGGCGCAAGAATGCATCTTACTCAGAGGTGCAAAAACGAAATAAGAGTTCGATCCTCGTGAAGTCCAATGGCAGCCTCGATGCATGTGCTTCGAACTGCAAGATCATAGCAAGTTCGAGGGCCACCAGGCATGAGGGAAGTCAACGGAGGCCTGTCTTTAAAGACATGGTTTTATAAGTGCCGTCCAGCTTTTGGCCCAGTCCTTTCCAGTAGTGAAGCTGAGCCGGCAGATAGCTGGGAGTCCCTTTTTTTTCCACGGTGTGACTAGCGCCATGAGACTGGATCGGCTCGGTGCCGACACTGAAGCTCCTGGTGTCTTCAGGTTCCTCCGCCCCGTGGACAAGGGGGCTGTCCTTGTGCGATGTTTGGCATCCGGGGAGTCCGTTCTCCTCTTGTGTGATGCCGCACTTCCGGTTCAGTTTACGTCTTATCACCCTCGGCTGGTTGCTTCGGATCCACTCACGTTGGCCATTGAGCCATCCGATATTTTTGAGGCTCTTTGCGACACGGAGCGTTTCTCAGAGACTGTGTTGGAATTGTGTGCCGGAACCGGGGCTATGGGGTTTGCTACCAGTTTCCTTGGCACCTCTTCTACCTGTTTCTGTGATTTGAATCCATTAGCCTCGAAAGTGGTATGTTTTTGGCGATTTCCCCTGAGACATTGGATCGAGTGGTGTCTAGGGTCCGTGAATGGACGAGCTCCAGGCCGGTGAGGAGGGCCTGTGATGTGGCCCGTCCTTTTTGATGCCGACTGCGTCTCACATGCTTCGCATGGTGACCACAGCGCCGCCATGAGGGCCGCGCTTGGACCGCATAGAGTCGGCGATATAAGCGCCGTCCGCATACTTGCCTATGGAACGCGACTTTGGAAACACATGCTGCGGGGCACATGACATCGGCGCCGCTGGACTGGAGTCCGATGATATCATGGTGGGGCACCTGGACAAGTCTTGGGCGAAGCTGCTTTGCCAAAAGGACTGCTTTCATCTGTTTTCTGGATCTGTCATGGGCATCGTATTGATTTTGCTGTCCAACCAGGCGGTGTATGGATTCTTGAGGTTGGTCAGATCCACCACCCCACCAACCATCGAGTCCGCTCTGTTGCGGAGGTGCCAATTCGATTTGTGGCGGTATGGCATTCTGGTTCACTGCAATTAGAGAGTTTGTGCCATAGCTGCTGTGCGCTGATGAAGCTGTTAAAGCATGCTGCAATATCTTACCATCGCCATTGCCATCTTGGCTGCTTTGCTTTGCCGTGGCCTGCTCTGCTTGAGAGTTGCTATCTCTACATGTCTGTTCTCCCGGAATGACACCTGCCGCAGGTCCCAATTGCTGCTGCATCTGTATTTTCGAGATGAGTAAGTCCAGAGTCGCCTGTCTGGAGCCGAGATGTGTGCTCCCATCTGCTTGTGCTGAGATGCTGAGTGAAGTGATGAGATGCACTTGAAGACTCACCAAGTGGTGGTAGCGAGCTGGGCCTCCCCCATCGTGAGCTTGCTCTCCATGAAACTGTGTTCCTCTGTCCGACTCATGGGACATGTGTGATGGTCTTCCGATATGTGGAGGCTGCGATAGAGTGCTGCAGCTTGAGATTCTCAGTTTGCTTGCAAGAGCCTAAGAGCACACAACCAATCGAGCTTTCACTCTTTTCGCTCGCTTTCGATTCCAGGTAGGGCTAGAAGCCGTATTAAATGGCGCAACAAAAAACAGTGAGCAAGCAATACACGGTACTCCTGTGTCGGGGGCCTACAAGCTATTCCTAGATGGCAGGATCTTCTTGAGCCCGCTTATTTATGGAAAAAAACGAGTTGCTCTACCTGCCTCAGCATCTTCTCGGGCAAAGCGGGCTGCAATGTTCTCTCGGTAGTAGACACGCCTCGTTGAGCGTCGACGAGTCAAGATGGGACCCTCTCTGGGGTCCTCAGAAAACGACCCCCCAAGTCTTTAAGTAGTCAAGGGTTGAAAGATACTCCTAATAATCCTAATAGCAATGTCCTCCAACCTAATAGCGATGGCCTCCAATAAGAGAGATGAAAGATACTTCAACGATAGTTGAAAGACCTCAAGTTTTGAGTGATTGTGGCCGTTGTGGCCCTCTGGACAAGTGCAAGCCCTGAGTTCTTCTATTGCCTTCTCAACTCATCGAAATCTGCCCCCTAGCGGCCCTAGCGGAGCAAGACTGTCTAATGTTAAGGGCCCAGGCTTCCAGTATGCTGGCCCATTGATCACGGCCTGGTATGGATCAGCTCTATATCACACACTCAACTCAGCAACAAGCCGTGCCCCTAAATCCCAGGCTTTGGCACAGAATCAGCTAAAGGCTTCCAAGCATCTACAGTCTACACTGACTTACACGCATCAAAACTGGAATCCTAGGCCTTACAAGAAGGCCACTATACTCAAAGCTCTGGAACTTGGGCCTCGAATACCTGTGATTCCATGTGATGCCTTGTAGCTCAGGCCAACAAACCAAGTTGACCAAGCTGCCCATGCCCTGCCTGAATATTGGAGGAGTCATTTCCCCAAGGCTTGGCGTAGTAGTTCTTGCCATTGACACCCAAGTACTGGGCGAGAAATTGAGATTCCAAAGAGACTCTCAAAGCAAGCCAAAAAATGGGAAGAAGGCAGCGGCAGTACCAAGATCCTCAAAAGTCTCAACAAAATGTTCTATCAGCTCCTCTCGTCTTCAAACAAACCAGAACCAGAACAAGCACGGGCAAACTGTCTCTCCCAGCTACAGTAAACCTGTGAGACACAGTCGACAAACTGCTTGAGAAACAGTGGGACACCCCACCTGTCGATCCCGTCCCTGACGATAGGCACTGAAATTCAGCGAGCCGCCATGCTCCGCCTGTGCGAGAGCTGAAGCGCACAGGATTCGCCGGGCTCCATTCACTCTGCCAAAAGCTCCCTCCCCACCGAAAAGCGACACACCCTGCTGGAATGCCTTTGCGGATTGCAGGCCGTCAAAGAGGACGGTTCGATGAACGTAACCTCGAGAGCCACTGTGCACTGTGCACTCAAAAAAGGCTTGCATGTGAGTTGTTGCAATCTGAGACAGGCCCCTCATGTTATCTCCACACTGTGAGATCATGCATCGACCTTTGAGTATCTTGTACAGGAACATATCCGCTACATGTGTGCACAAGCCCCGTTATCCCAGTGTGAAAAGACCGTTGCATTAGAAGCCATGCACTACCGAGGTATTCATCAGTGCTGAGTTTGTCAGTGGTAGCGGAGCTCCTGGATCAGTTATCATTAGGAAACTAGTGATAGCTGTGAAGGGAGCGATGCTTGGGAAAAAGGTGGAACGGCATGAGTAACACGGACAAGGACCAGGGCAATACAAAGAGCTTGGAGGGTGTTCACAGGTGAAGATGCCAGTGGGTATCGGAAATGGAGGAGAAGAGCTCAATTGTACCTGATGGCACTCCCCACCAATGTGCCAGAGAAGTGGGGCGCTAGACTGTTAGAACATTTGAGCGGAGAAGCAGAAGAGCTGCTTGAGGCGGTGGACATTGATGACATTACCAAAGACCAAGGATGGAAGCTGGTGCTAGATACGCTCGATGAGAAGTACAAGGAGGCTTCCAAAGACGAGCTCCAGAGAGTAATGAAGGACTATTTCTACACGATATGCATCAAAGAGCAAGAAACATACAGATACTTCATCACAAGACTGGATACAGCTTACAAGGCCTTGGTTCGCAATGGAGTTGAACTACCAGACGAAGTGAGAGGCTGGATGCTGCTGAAAAAGTTGGCATTGGAGCCAAACTCAGAGTCAATGATCCTGACAGCCAGTCAAGGATCTGTCAAGTATGTGAAGATCATGCAGGCAGTCCGCAATGTTTTTCCTCATGGGAAGTCCTTGAAAACTGCTAAGACGAAGGACATCTTTGTGACCGAGCAGGAGGACTACCATAGACGAGGTGGAACTGAAGGACCACCAGAAAGTGATGGAGAACCACTCGAGGTGATGGAAACCATTGCGACACAACTTCAAGAGGCAGAGGACTATGAGTCAGAAGATGCTCTTGACACGTATGAGACTTACACTACCGTCAGGAAGAAGATGCAGGAAAAGAAAATCAACAGAGGCTACAAGCCAACATCATCATCGGCGTCTTCATGGCAGCTGACAGGATCAGTGAGAGGTCGTATCGAGGCCCTCGAGCAGAAGACCAAGTGTCACCTATGCCGACGAAGAGGGCATTGGAAGAAAGAGTGTCCTTTGAAAAGCAAAGACAAAGGAGCGGAGAAAGAAGTGCATCGTGTGGAGATTGTGGACAGTGAAGATGAGTCCTATGACATCTACACGATTGAGGCTTCTGTGAATGACGAGTACCAGGAGACAAAGAATGTCATGGGCAAGGACAAGACGGATGGTGACCAAGGAGGTCCAGAAAAGACGAAAGACATGGTGAACAAGAACCACAAGAAGGATTGCTGGGAGGTCAGACATGAGCATGGGATCCGACATGTGAAGAAGAGAAAGGGGTTGGAATGCAAGATGTTCCAGTGACCTTGGAAGAATTGTCAGGAAACCGTGTGGAGATCAACTATGAGGACGGTGAGACAGAAACCATCCAGGACGTGTTCACAAGTCAGAAACCACATGCCAAGCTCAAGAAGTGTGGACTGGGAAAACCATTTTGGAACTCAAGTCCATGGAGAAGTCCAGTGGCAGTCAACCCAAGCGTCCAAAGCTCAGCCAGGATGAGTATGACGTGATGATCGCCCAATACTGAGTGCAATGGAGCGGGGGACAGCCGAGAATTTTCGAATTTTTGAGACTCATCATTCGCACATGGAGCCGGCAGATCTGTGCGAATACGCTGTGCCAGACACCGCTTGTAGGAAGACTCTTGTTGAGGAATTGCTTCTTAGGGGTATTGAGAGTCGATTGCATAGAAAGGGTTTGCGAGTCATCCGTAGGCGAGAGGTGAATAAGTTTAGGTTTGGCAATGCTGGCACCTTGCGATCAAAAGAAGTTGCGCAGATCCCCATTCATTTAGGAGGGAGGCTGGTAGTTGTTCATGCGGCGGTGCTGCCAGCAAGTGGATCTCGAACACCATGTTTATTTTCGAAAGAGTTGTTGAAGAAGTTAGAGTGTGTTTTGGATATGAAGCATGATACTTGTGTGTTTCAGAAGTTGAGCGAAACTCCAATCAAACTCAAACGCACTGCTCGTGGTCACTACGCAATTCCAGTGCTCGAGGTGCCAAATCGAAACACGCAAGTTCCCAGTGATCACTGCAATGACGAGTCAGTTGGCCAAGGAGTTGATGGACGACCTTCTGCAGGAGGAGGCCAATCCCACCGAATTCTTTGCAACCAGTCGCTTGGACGAGGAGAGCGATTGGTCGGAAGACGAGCCCGAGTGTCCTTTGATGGGGACAGATCTCTGCGAGTATGCCCAGGTGTATCAGGAGGACAAGGGCTATGTGCAGTGGATTCGCAGCCACATCACGACCAAGTCCTGTGCCGGAATGAAGAAACTTCGTCTCTACATCGAGTGTGTGGACACGGCCAAGAAAGAGAGGCTTCAAGCGAAGTGGCAGGAGAAGAAGGAGATGATGCAGCAGAAGAAGGCAGGCGCCCAGATGCCAATCATGCCTCAGATCGAAAAGAACAAGGGGAAGAAATCATCCAAGGCCAAGGGCAGTGCGAAGGGCAGTGCCGAAGTGAACGAAGAGGCCATCCAGCAGGCCACAGAGTTGATCTTGGCCGGCATGAACCATGTGGTCAATCCCAGGACTCGCGTGCGCGAGGGAGGAGGCCGGATTCAGCAACCTCAGGGAGAGCACGGCATGGATCAGGAGGAAGACTGGAACAGCGAGTTCACATCGGACTGGGAGGCAGTGGCAGCCAATGCTCAGGCCAAGTCGCTCCCGAGCAAGAGCAAGTGAGCCATGAACAGAGCCGCACTGCATTGACACCAAAAGAGATGGATTTCCTTGAGGGAGAGCTGGAGAGAGCATGGACTAGGAAGTCCAACATGCATGACCGTTTGGACGTACTGTTTATATATAACTCCAGCACAAAGTGCAATGGAAAGTGCGGCAGAGGTGTTTTCAGTTCCACGTTTGTGCAAGCTAGCAGAAGATGTTGGCTTGACCAGTGGAGGCTCATATGACATCCTGACAGGATGGGACTTCAGAGATCGCGACAAAAGGGAAGAGCTGCGAGTGAAACCCAAAACGATGAAACCACGATTGCTGATACTGTGTCCTCCATGCGGTGTTTCATCAACCTTGCAGCCAATTGAACAATACACCAACTTGAAAGAGTGGTTGAAACGAGTGCAGGAAAGTAAGATCTTTTTGAGATACAGCATGCAATTGGCGCGAGCAAGAAGCTACTAGGAGCAAGGGCATCGCTACTAGGAGCAAGGACGCTACTAGGGGTTCCTGGCCATACTACTAGGAGCAAGAAGCTACTAGGAGCAAGATCAAATGGATAGGGGAGATCTTTTCCTTTTTGAACCCCATGGAGCGAAGTCATGGTCGTGAGAGTGAGTAGGAGAGACAATGTGGCGCAAGTGACTGTTGACCAGTGCATGTTTGGTTTGGTGGATTGTGTCTAACGGAAAACCACAAAGGAAACGGACTAGATTGATGACTAACTGTGTGGAAATTGCCAAACGCATGCAGGTTTTGTGTGATGGGAAACATTCACATCAACATGTCATGGGTTCGGTCAGAACGGAACAAGGTTGGGTCAATAGGTCACGGCTTGCTCAGGAATATCCAAAGGAATTTTGTCTCAATATGTTGAAGGGTTTGTTGGATGATGTTGAATCTAGGAGGCAGAGTCATGCGACAAACTGTGTTTTGACGGTTGAGGCCCTAGACACTCATGATGACAAAAAGATCGCCATCCTACTAAGGAGATGCCATGAGAACTTAGGACATCCTTCAACAGCACGCTGCGTGGCTATGTTGAAAGCCGCTCGAGCAAACGACAAGTGCATCAAGATAGCTAAAGGACTCAAATGCCATACATGTGATGCCACTCAGGGAGAGAAGACACACAATGTTGCTCGCGCGATCAAAAAACCTTGACTTCAATGAATTGGTTGCAGTTGATACTTTCGAAGTTGAGTTGCCATGGCGGAAGTTGAAACTTCTCAACATTGTTGATATCGGAACACGGTTCCAGACTTGCATTCCCTTGTGGAAGGGCATTGAAGCGCGCCATGTGAGGAAGGCCTTTCGTCGAAACTGGAAAAGATGGGCGGGTGCACCGCGCACCGTGATCAGTGACGGAGGACCTGAATTTGGCACAAGTTGGACAGACCACTTGTCAGGTGATGGAACTGAACATTCCGTGACGGCCGCATATGCACCGTGGCAGAATGGCGTGTGTGAGCGACTTGGAGGAGAGTGGAAGGTGGCATTTCGCAAAGCATTGTTGGAGGTCGACCCGCAGTCCAAGGAAGAGGCAGAAGAACTATGTGATCAGTTGAACTATGCACATAATTCCATGACTCGCGTTGACGGATTTTCTCCTCATCAGCATGTGTTGGGTGCAGATGTGCGTGTGCCATTGTTGGGAATGCTTGGAGAAGGCAATGAAACACAGGAATCAGCGTTGCATGAAAAAGAGGATAGACACATGAGGGCTCAGAAAATCAGATCGGCCAGGAAAGCCTTCTTGGACGCAGACAGTGAGAGTAAGTTGAAAAGAGCCATATATCATAGGAGTAGACCTAATCGTGGTGCAAAGGTGTACCGATGTGAGCAACAAGTGAAACATGTTGATACCGAAATTGTCGTCATCTTGGTTGCCCCATTGAGATCGTGGAAGAGTACACTTCGTGAGCGTGGTGAGATGGAAATCTTGTTGAGCTTGACAAAGAAGGATTCCCACCAATGGAAGAAAGAGAGGAAAGAGCTGAGCAAGAGGTCGAAACAGACCAAGGACTGCAAGGAAGCTCTAAGGTTGTAGAAATGGAACAGGTAGAACAGGAGGTGGGAAACAATCAGGTTGAAGGAAATAACAGTGGAGAGCAAGAGGCTGAAGAGCAACAGTCACCAGATGCTCCCATGCCTCATCTTGAGTCGCTTACAGGTTCAGCACAGGAGAGACCAATGTCGGTGGAAGAACCTGCAGCAGAGCCCCAGAGCGTTGAACTTGAAAACGAAACAAACGATACTGGAGTGTGGAGCACTGAGAACACAGAGTATGGACCAGTGAGGACATCTTCTTTGACACATGCCATGCGGAACAGCTTGAATAGTTTAGATTTTAGATTTTGGAGCACCCATTCGACGTTCGCAACCGCATGAAACCTTGTGTCTTGATCATCTTGAACATCAAAAAGGGATGCCATATACAGTGTTCGTGACTGATGGTAACGGACTTGACGAGGACCAAACGGAAACGATGCATGACATGGTAGAACAGAAACAGAGAAAAGTGGAACACAGAGAGCTGCAGGAAAAACAACTGTCACCGGAAAAACGAAACGAGTTGAATGCGGCAAAATCCAAGGAATGGGGAAAAATCATCGACTCAGGTTCCATGGTTGTGCATGCAGGGCAGGAGGCAAAAAGGATGGAAGGTGAAGTAGGTAAAGATCGTATTTTGAAGTCACGATGTGTTTACACTGATGATGGGACTCCTGAATGAGTTCTCAAGGCCAAATGGTGTGTGAAAGGATACCTTGATCCTGACGCCCTTGAATTGCAAACAGCGTCACCAACATTGAGCAATGAAGGATTTTCAGTTGCGACGCAACTCATAGCTAGTTACCAGTGGAAACTAGTGATTGCAGATGTCGAGGGAGCATTCCTACGAGGAGACCACATTGAACGACAGAAAGGGAAGATCTTGGTTCAGTTGCCACCAGGTAAAGTTCCAGGATATGATGAGACAATTTGTGAACTCATCAAGCCAGTATACGGACTGGTTGACGCACCCAGATTGTAGTGGAACTCTTTGACCAATACTTTACGACAACAAGGTCTTCAGCAGTCAGAACTTGACAATTGCATCTTTTACAGTCGGGCCTCAGCGGGAGCCTTAAACGGAGTGATTGCATTTCATGTCAACGACTTGTTAATTGGTGGTGCCCCCCAGTTCTTTGCGAGTTCTTTTGAACGTTTGAAACAGAAATACCCTTTTAAACATGTGAAACATGGTTCTGGTGAGTTTTGGGGAAAACAATTGAGACAACTTGAAGATGGAAGTGTGGTCATTCAACAAAAGGAGTATTCTGAGACTTTGGAATGCATTCCAATTTCTAAAGAGAGAAGAAAAGAAAAAGAGAAAGAGACCACGGCATATGAGAAGACTGAAATGAGAGGTGTGTTAGGAGAAGTGCAATGGTTGGTAACAGGTTCAAGACCTGACCTGGCAGCGGGATGCTCACTGCTGCAACAAAGGATTGCTGTTTGAATGACATGATAGAAGTGAACCGATTGGTTGCCTTGGCTCGAGACTTCTCAAACACCGAAATCCGTGTGAAATATATTAATCCAGAACACCTGGAATTTGCGGCATGGTCAGATGCAAGCTTTGCCAATGCTGAATCCATGAAAAGCCAAGGAGGATACGTGATATGTGCAACAGACCGACGACTGAGAGACAATGAATGGGCTGTGATTTCACCTTTACGCTGGAGAAGCTACAAACAGGACCGACCAGTGGCATCGACGTTGGGAGCAGAGCTCATGACCTTATCCAGGACGATTGCCAACGATTGAGTCCAAATGGGTGAGATCAATGTGGGCTGAGGCAAGGTTCAAGAACTACAAGCTGGAAGAGGGTAAAATCTGGAGCTCTTGGATACCTCTGACCATCTCTGTGGATTCACGTCCAGTGTTTGATCATTTGAATGGTCAAGTCATGACAATCAAAGACAAGAGAATGGCAATAGAGTTGCTTTTGGTCAAAAGAGATGTAGGTCGAGACAACGTACAAGTACGTTGGCTACCAACAAACCATATGCTTGTCGGTGGGCTGACAAAGTTGGGTGTGAAAATGGACTTGTTAAGGAAAGTCCTACAAATGAACATGATGAAGTTGACTGAAGATCCAACCCTGTTGAAATGGATCGGAAAGGCACCAAAGAAAGTTTGATTGGAGTTGTGAGTTTTGTTTTTTGCGTGTTCGTGTGGTTTACAACGAATGAAAGAGATCCACATGATACCAAAGGTCAAAAAGGGATGTGTGAGATCATGCATCGACCTTTGAGTATCTTGTACCGGAACATATCCGCTACATGTGTGCACAAGCCCCCCGCTATCCCAGTGTGAAAAGACCGTTGCATTAGAAGCCATGCACTACCGAGGGATTCATCAGTGCTGAGTCTGTCACACACGTTCAACACCAAGAGACTCTGGTGATAAATCATGTTAAGGTATTGACATCCTGGAACAAAGCTCTGCACAAGCTGAGCTACAGGAACAGTTGATCATCAAACCAGCAAGATGCCTGCAAGACCTTGTTCGATTGACCGCCCAAATGACTTGGTCCCTTCAGCTGGGCATGTGGGCCATCCCGATAGAACTTGGCTTCAGCCGCTGTCATGGCCTTCCGGCAACGAGGACTCAAATCGACTAGTCATTGGGGTCTGCAGTGGTTGGTAGCTTTCTTGCTCCCTCTACAAGAGTTGTAAATGAACTCAAAACTGTGAAACCTCATTAGTAGTAACAAGTGCCACGCTAGTAGTAACAAGTGCCTTACTAGTAGTAACAAAAAAGCTATTAGAATTAAACTAAATCAAAATGAATTAGTCAATGCTTCAAGTCGGTCCATCACTCGCTATCCTGCAGCATGGGTCACCATGCAACCTCTCAGTCTGGGCCTGGGATCGGAAAAGATCCCACACAGGGGGCCTTTCGCTCGCTATGGGAACGGCTGCGGAGTGTTGCAGAAAGCTCCCTTGGATAAAAGAAAGCGCGTGAGCCGCATGCACTGTTGAAATTACTATTTTGAGACAACTCAGTCACGGCCACGGGACAATCTCATTGTGCCAAAAAAACAGCAGGCCAGACCTAGCAATCTGTTTTCCCACCACCATGCTTTGCGGTGCAGGTGATTCAGCACTTACTACACGGCTCTGAAGCTCACAGGGACTGGAAATCCTTGGGACAAAAAAAACACGATGCAACATACCATACCATTTATCATTCCGCCCTCTACAACACGGTCTCCAAGTCATCAGCTGAAAAGCGCTGCCTTGCTTGTAAAGGCTGTGTCTCCAATCCTCTCTGTATGTGCATGCGAAATGACCGGTGTAACTCTGGTGCTACCCCCCCATCGCTGAACCGTGCCTGATGGCCACACAGGCGGGCTTCAGTGGTACCATCGAGGCCACCAAGGAGGCAAAACCAGCAAGACTTGACTCAGGGAAGAGTTTATCGTTTTCAGTTGGCTGGTTCCGAAGCTCATAACATCCAGTCAATGGCTGGTTCCCATTGGTTCCCTTGGTGTCCCTGCTCTCCACCCAGTTGGATCCAACGATCGAGGACCAAGTTGGAGTACCTGAGCACCACGTGGTGTATTGCAGCATAATTATCTCATATATGCATCAAAAACACACCTGAAAAGACTTAAGAAAGAAAAGTTCAGAAAAATGTGGCATGACATTCTTTGAGATGTCAATCGGTCTTTTGATGCAAACTGCGCAAACGGTGCAGCGAAGCCGAGCCCACAGTCGTCAGAGCTATCGCGCCTGGGTGTGGTGAAGAACTGCTTGTAGAAGCCGCTGCCCTGCACAAGGCAGTTCGTTCCCTTCTGCGTCTGTTGTGCCTGGGGCCTAGAAGAGAATGAAGCCCACCCTTTTCTAAGAGTTCCAAACAACCTTTAGACATTCTCTTTTTCGGTGTTTATTCCAACTTCTCCTCCCCGGTCTTGCAGTTCACCCTGAAACTCACTTTGTTGCGGTCTTTCGCACATGCCTCGCGGGGAAAGATCCGGGTGAAATGCCCGCGTCTCATGTTCTCCTCGTAAGTCTCCAGGATCAATCGCCACTCCGCCTCATCTAATGCTTCTCCACAGACTGGTTTGGTGAGTTGCTTGTTCGGTATGATTCGACCATCGCTCGTCTGAAAACCCAAGTCTTCGAGATCCGTGAACGGCAAGAACTTGACAGCGAAGAATGAAAGCTCAGGCCCTGCAGGCCTCTCCAAAGCTCTTGAAAGTTGCAGTCCTGATTGTTGAGACCTCACGTGAATTGTTACTAGTAGTAATGACCTCCACCCGAATAGCTTCTTGTTACTAGTAGCGATCAGAGACATACCAAAAAGTTTCTTGCTACTACAGGTGAAACGAGTCCCAGTGAAACGATTTCCATGAACCTGCAAAGTCACAGCTGAATGTGGCAAAACGGAAAATCTATGACCCTGGCTGTGTGGGACCGACTGATCACCAGATTTCTGGACGAACCTTTCCACCAGCTTTGCTCGGATTCAAGCGGAAGCAGAAACCACAAGTCTCTCTCATAATGCTGGTTCGTACAACTATGGAGCACGTGTGATTTGGCTGCGTGACTGCAGAGCAGCAAAAAATGGCAACACCCCTCGACCGCCTTGAAGTCGCTTGGCTAGCTCTTCCTGTCCAAATTACTGTCAACCCCAGCTGGTGTGTGTTGTTTCACCCAATTGGCTTGTTCCCGCCGATGAAGAAAAGCAAAATCATACCAGAAATCGGCTGGAGAACAAGTGGCGAACAAGTAACCTAGCGGCTTCAACAAATCTCCACAACACAAGATTCAGCATGCACATCTGTCCCCTCAAAGGTTCATAGGACTTCAATAGAATCAGAAAAAAAACATTCTATTGGGGCTAGATTCCCTAGTGTTCCATAAGCTTCAACAGGGCTCTCTAAAACATTTTCCAATCTTAGTCTCAGAGGGCTGTGCCTGGAAACCTATCAGAACAGTCACCTTGGAAACCTACAAAATGTTGCTTCCTTGCTCAGAAACACAATAAACTCCAATGGGCTGGAACTACCTTGGCGGATCCTTCATGCCTGAGAGTAAACACATCATCAAGCTCGCGAAGCTTATGCACAGCTGGTGGAAACACAGCTGAGCGTCAACTCCGGAAACAACACTAGCGATGGCCTCCAACCTAATGGCAATGGCCTTCAACCTGATAGCGTTTAACCTAAGAGCGATGGCCCCACAAATGCTGATAGAATAGATCAAATCAGCATGTCTCCTTGCACGTCTTCTCAACCGTGTCATGATCGTACGGCATGAGCCCAATCAAAGTGAACCTCAAGACGTCAATGAGCCCCTTTCGCGTTCTAGGCTGGGCCACTGCCACTGTGATAGCAGTAAGTCCACGCAGGCAAAATACCAAACAAAACGAGTTCCAAATTAGTGACATAAAGATTGGATCTTGAAATTGCTACAATAGGCTACGATTCTCATGAAGTGCTGCAAGCTGCTGGAGATCCGGGAACAGGGCATCTGCATAGAAAAGACATTGCAGGATCACTCAAAGCTAAGGCCAACACACATCAGCTATGAGCTGGGTCTTAATGCGCTTGTCGTAGGGTGATGACGAAGAAAATGACCTTGCTATTTGGCCCATTAGGCGCAAAATGCCGTGCTGTACACATCCATTTGGTGTTCTTCACACCTATCGCCTTGTCAAGCCAGAACCCCATCAGATTCTCCATGTCATCCCCAGAAGGTCTGAAAAAAAAAGTGATTTCTCAAGGTGGAAACGAACACGGCCGAGGAACGGGAAGACATTCACCTCTAGGAGCCAAGGCCTGGCCGCACCAGGATGAATTGTCGGAAAATAAGTTTTACTTTGTTTTTGCCGGGGTAGGCTGCTCTAAGAGGTAGAAGAGGTAGCTGATAGCTTGAGTCAGCTTCTACCTACTGGACGCAGGATAGCTCGTGCTTCTGCAAGCACTAATGATTAGGTTCCTAGATTTTTAGGGAAACTTAACTTCAGTGCTTGGGCAAATGGTTTCGCAATCATGCAAATCGTAGGAGTGTTAAACCTCTACGCTCTGACAAGGGACTAACACTCATGTTGCAACAATGCAATCGATGACATTGGCATTGTAGTGGCAACCTGGTCTTTGGCCTTTGAGTTATGCGAAACACAGAAAATGTGTCGAGTTTCTCTGAAACACTATACATTCTTGCAAGCCTGAAGCCTAGACATGTCCAGCTTGCTGCGAAGTAAGCTTGCGTGGCTACCATATAAGCTGAGGCATAAGCTGTAGCTCCTCATCCACCATTACATCAAAGCCTGCAAATGACGAGTCTTTTTTCTCATCTGTTTATGACTGAAGTTGAGTCAGGAGTGGTGCCGAATCGGCTTGCACAAGGAAACTGAGCGTCTGCGCAAAATTCATTGATCAAGCATCAATCACTGCATGTTGCTGCATGGTCAAGGAATCAGGGTGAAAGTAAGAAGTACTGCTGAAGTTTTTCTTGCTTCTTCAGTGTGGTTACAACATTCAATACCTGTGACTAAAACTCCCTGCCCAGTTTGAGTACAGTATGTATTCAATAGGCTACAGGGACAGGTAACATCACCAGAATGAAAGCACCCCTAGAGGCTACATCATTTATATACCCGAAGGCATCCAGCTGAGTGCTTTTTCTTGTGGGCTCTTTTAATTGAACTGTGCCTTTCCACCGATTGGGGAAGCCCAGTGTACCTAGGACCTAGAATCATCTATAGGTTGCTGACATAAACAGCTCGTGTTTTCCACAAACTCGTCTAGATCATCGTCAGGAGTGCACATGTATCACAAGCAAAACTTGTTAAAGTAAAAAGTTCTTTGCTACCAGGAACAAGAAGCTACTAGGGGCTCCTGGCATCGCTACTAGGAGCAAGGACGCTATTGGGGGCTCCTGGCCTTACTACTAGGAACAAGGACGCTAAAACTGTGATTCCTTCACAATTGACTGCCCGAGTCCAGGGCCGTAGATCTCGAAGCAGGTTTGGTTTGGAGTCACCTGTGCGTTTGCGTCTCCGGAAAAGCTGTGAGGAGAAAGATCTGCCAAAATGGAATCTGTCTCGTGATAAACCTGGCACAAACACCCTTGAGGCCGTGAGCTCCTAGCCACGCAATTTGTGCAATAGGCTGATAGGGAAAGAGGCAAATTGCGATGAGAAAAACAAACAGCACATAAACGAGCCATGGATCTATTTCATTCGGATCTGTAGTCTGCATTATATGCTGTTCCAATATCCTCGGAGTGCCTGCTGAATGGCCGTCGCGCTGGCGGTGGAGTAGTTGGCTCCCTGGCTGGCATGCTCGAGTCTTCTGTTCGGAAGATTGCAAATCCTTCAAGCACTCCTTTATTCGCTGGATCTTTGAAGGGCATAGGTATGTAGCTTTCATCCGCAACGCAATGGAATTGTCATGAAATTGTGACTTGTTTGCCGCCTCCCCCACGTCCCTCTCCTCCCTCTCCTCCTCCTCCTTCTCCTTCTCCTATCCCTGGTAAACCCCAAGAGAAGGATAGAGAAGGCGTTGCTGCATCATTCTTCATCCCCGTCACCTGATGCCAGGTGTTCACGATCTGCGGCCTGAACCACACACTACCCACTGGCATGTTGTCAATTCTATGATAGGAAGACGTCATCACCACAATAGACCTATGTCATCAAAGCACCAGGGTTGTATCCAAACCCAACCCAAGGACTGGACTCTGCTGCGATGAGGGTTTTGATGATCACATCCTCGATGCGTGACATCAGCAGCGGGTAATCCACTCCTGGGCCACGGACCATACAAACAGCTAAATGCTTAGTACTACATGCGAGGCACGCATATTAAATATACACGTAACTAACCCATGTCACAGAAACCCCCATTGACGGCGCATGATGCATCAATGTATGGAGCCTTGTGCTGTGAGATGTTCTTCCAGCTGCCTGCGCCAAAGATTCGTCCACGCTTTGTGATGCTTTAAAACGTTCCACGGGTTGACAGCGAAATTCTGAAGCAGGGCGGTGCCTTAGTGACCATTTGGAGGAGTCACCAACGGCGTGCGTCTCCTGAGTTGCTTTGTCAAAGCATTCCATTCATTCGAGTTGTTCCCTCACAAAACACATACCCGCATCCTGCGAATCAGGGGGCTATGCCCAGGTGGCCCGGGAACCGAATTGGGGATCTGTATTCACCAGAAAGTCTCAGTGTTTAGTGTAAATCAGATCCCAACGTCATCTTTTCTTTGCACCATCTTCGGAGGATCTAGTAGTCACAAACATGTATGCAAACTATATTGCTTGCGTGTTCTCTCATTATATACTGTTATATACTCAATAATATATGTTCTCTGTTGACAAACGATTTCCCTACACCATAACTTGGGCTGAAAGGCTGTGTTAAGAGGAAGCAAAAAAAGAGCACGAACAAACACCTGGACTGTATGAGGGTGCATGTGCATTCCTGCTTATAGCAGTAAGGGGCAGCTCAGTGTAACACCGAATCCCAATTACCTTAGCATGGAGCAATTCACTGAAAGCGAGTGAAATCTTCCCAACCTCCTCATTAGCGTCATCGCCCAGGTCACTGATAGCCTGAAACTGACAAGGCGACGGGTCTCCAACAATGTAGATCTACATGCATAATAATCCAAAGGATGTACAGTATATGATGTATGCGCCACACTTGTGGCCACCTCTGGAATCTGATACAACTGTTCACATCAACCACTTGCAAGCCTCACAGCCTCACTCATTCTTGACCCACTCACTAGCCTCATCACTTTCACCCTCAAGGGCATCTGCTTCTGCTGCTTCAACCTGCCACTCTGGACTCAGTCGTCACCCAAGTAATGCTGGCCCTCTCGATTGACTAGCATGTGCTTTTCCCCCTAAAACCAGCCAAAGCCTTGGATTTCGTGTCATCTTCCTTCTTGTCCAGGTTTTGCTTGTAGCCTAGGCTTGGGTGAAGCACCGCTGAACTGAAAAAATCTGCAAGATCAACTGGGTCTCTGGACTCGCAGCATGCTTGTTGATGGAGTAGTTCGTCAAGTGCATCGTTCGTTCCTCTAAACCTGGAGTAGAAAGCACAGTCCCTGGAGTCTAACACCCAATATCGAGAAACCGTACAAACCAGGGCGGTAGCTTCTTTAAGAACGCAAAGGTGTGTGAATTCTAGCTTCTTGTTGAGCGCGGTAACAATTGAGACATTGGTATCTGATCTCCTTCCCAAATATACAGTAATTTCAACCAGAGAGCTTTCGCACAACTACTGTAGAAGTATTGAAAAGGGTCGAAACTCCTCGCCCGGAGTCCCATTGTTATTGCTTCCATGGCAATTCTCGGCTCACAAGCACCATCATGACATGCATCAGGCCGCTACGAGTTGGTACACAGTTCTCGGTGCCCCACTGTCTGCGGAGCACTGATACTTTTGCGTGGCGAGGCGCACCAAGCCCTCTTGATAAATGTATACCTCGACAGTCGCGAAGTGATGAATTCACCAACTCCCAACTCTTTGTGGAACAGCAAACTGACAACATCAACAAGTCAGAGCAAAAGAGGGTGGTGTTTATCTCAAAGTCGAACCTACAATAGTGTTAGTCATTGCCAGGTTTTTGCCCACTCTCATCTCGCCTTCAAGGGATCGAAGGAGGTCACCTGATGGATCGGAGGTGGTGAGTTCGTCAATCCAAGTCATCGGGGAGACGGCCCCAGTGCTACTTTCAGCTATTTTTGTTCCGTTACTCGTGTCAAACACGTTCTCATGTTAAAATAGATGCATCCAGGAAACCACCACATAAAGGCGGAGATCGAACTTGAAGCCGTTGATCAGCAGCCTCGATGGAACTCTTAGGGCTCTGCTGGGATCTGGAGGCTCTACTGTACCCTCAATTCCGTACCGGGGTCTCTGTTTGGCAAAAGGAATGCACGCAATCAATAAAGACTCAATAAAGAATCCAAGCACATTCATAACGAGTTCAATAAAAAACATTCACGAAGATCATGTCGGGTTTCTGCAGCCCCGTTCCAATTCTAAGTCCAGCTCGGTCGATCGACGTACCGTTGCACGATACCAGCCCTGGCTTCGATCTGAGAGATTCAAACTGAGTGCAGTGCATTAAAAAACGCATGACAACACCTCATGAGAGATCGTTCCATGAGTTTCCTCAGTGCAAAACAGGAAGCTCTCAGTGCCTCTGCGTGATTTTCTTCTCGACTCCAGGGGGTATAGAACTGCTGAAGAGACCTGGATAGCAGACTCAGACCTTCACAATGGCTGACATGTTTTGACGAAGTGGCCAGTGGTATGAACCAGTGGGAATTGATTTTGCAGGTCGGTTAGCTCTTTTTACGAAGGTTGCAAAGTCAAATTCTGTCACCATCCGTTGCAACAATTCACATGGAACATGTCGCAAAGAATGTTCCTGTGTCGGTCTATGTCTATATGTCCAAAAGGGTCGGGACGTTATTTGGTCTTTTTGGGTGAATTCTTCTTTTTTGGTGATCTGTGTGGTTGGGAAAGGCATTACAAGTAGAGATTCTGTCTAGAAGAGTCATCAAAAGCAAAGAACGCAATAGAAAACTCATCAAAATAGAGATTTCAATATGAAACATGAGGGGAACTCACAGAGTAGCAGTGCAGACTCTTTCTTTTTCCTTCACGAATGAAAAGGGGTCTGCTCATCAAACTGCACCTGTCACGCTCAAGGAGACATGAACAGAGGGAAGTGTTATGAAATAATAACACTGGGCATTAGTCGTGGTAGAAAACACGGACCAGCTTCGTGGTAGAAAACACACGGACCAGCTTGGAAAGTCATCTTTGATGCACTTAACATACCACCCGGCACAGGAGTGTGTATGACGTCCCGACAAGACCCCCACACGCTATAGGGCCCGCAGAGGGTGTCAAGGGTGGGTGGGTGGGGAAAAGAAAAATGCCTCCCGATCTTGAGCAAAAAGAAAAGTCCCTCCCGATCTTGAGCCAAAATGGCATCAAGATCAGGAGTAACCCCTACATGTTTCAAATCCCAAATTGTCCCTACCCGACCCACCCAACCATTCATTTTGGGGAGATAAGAAACATGAGGGGAACTTACAGAATAGCAGTGCAGACTCTTACTTTTTCCTTCACGAATGAAAAGGAGTCTACTCATCAAACTGCACCTGTCACACTCAAGGAGACATGAACAGAGGGAAGTGTTATGAAATAACACTGGGTATTAGTCGTGGTAGAAAACACACGGACCAGCTTGGAAAGTCATCTTTGATGAACTTAACATACCACCCACTGCTTTTGAAATCACCCACAGTCCACGTACTCTAAAAAAGAGGGAAAGGTGTGCAGGGTGACACACGGACCGGAGTGGTTCCGGGTAGCAAACCTCTGACACATCCCAGGGTTGTGACCTAGTCCAAGTGTCACACACCCCATCTCTAGAAAGGCCGTCAAAAGGGTTGCTCTCAGAGTCTACCCATTCGATCCAAACGCGAATCCTGAATGTTTGAAAAAGGAAATGCGCTACCTGAACAAGGGTATGGACATAAATTTGAGAGCTGGACCCGCGGATGAGCGAGGCCACAGCTGCCTCATTATCGCTGAACCACAAAACATCCTGGCGGCGCAAGGCTTCACCATGAAACCATGGCACCAAGAGACCACAGAGGGTTTCGCCAGGATAAATTTGTTGCGAACGGTCTTCCCAAGTCTGGATCACTTCCGGAGGGACAACACAGGTTAGATTCTGGGGAGAATCCGACTGTCCGAAAATGACCCAGCCAACACGCAACACGCCATGTTCAAAAGAAGCGTCAGAGTAGATAAGGGTAGGTTGTGAAGGCAATGAACGTACTGCTATATCACGAGGACCGGGGCATGCCACAATCGCCGCTAAGAGCTTCAGGCGACAGTGTCCTTGGGGGAAAGAACCGGTGATGCAGCACGCAACGCGGTCAGAGTGGGTCCTGCAACCCTACCTGCCTGGCCTGCGCACATGCTAAACATCCAGTTTAAATCACCCCGTAGCTTCCCGGCATCATCCGGGGGAAGCTGATTCGTCTCAAGCGCAAGTCGCAGTTTTGCCAATAGTTTTTGTTGTGTGGTAAACTTTGGTTGAAATCGAATGGATCCAGAGTCGACAAAGTCTCCAACATGTACAGAAGTACCAAGAAGGTAACGACGGTTGCGGCCCGGCGCAAAAGATTTGGCCGCCTGGGGCGGGGCCCCCATGAGTTGAAAGACCAATTGGAGTCCGCGCTGCGAGACATCCGAATGGTGGACAAAGTCAACAGCGAGTTCATCGTCAAAGTAGGCGGCGCAACAAGACAAGGTACAGCGTCGTGCAATCGCAATGCCCAACTGGGGGAAGCGGTTAAAACTAACGACTGCACTTTCTAGTCCGTAGGCCAAACCATACATGGTTGCGAACCGCCAGCCTTGACCTGAAAAGCCTCCTCTGAACCCAAGGGGCCCTGGCGTTGCTCCAATTCTGTAACCAGCTCTCACCATGCGCGACCAACTCCAACTCGTCTGTGACCGTGTCGCCATCGGAACAATTCCTGGGCTGAGGGACATGCAGCCCACCAGGAGCAGGGAGGCCAAGACAACGACTCTTATTTGGTCCACTATATAGAAGGGATCTAAAACTAAAAATGTTTTAAAGTCCAACAACCCCTAGTAGTTTAGAACACGAAACTGAGCCCAGTTTGGTCTCATCAGTCAGGGTAACCTGATGGCACCGTTACCCAAGCACTCCATGTAGAGCGCCCACCCTGAAACCACCCCAATGTAGGCGTATACGCCAAGTGTTCTTTGACTTTTCCGACCCTCGCACTGAGACGAACGTTGCTCCAGCAAAGCACGGCTGCAAAGGCTACATGAAAGGCCACACAGCCTGCGCCGTCGCATGCCCCAGCGAGCCAAGCGACGCAGCCGGCTTTGAACCTCTCCTCCTTGCTGAAATTCTTGTAGAACGTCGCGGCAATGGCCTGCATTCAGGTGTTCATGCCACACCTAAGAAATCTGGACCTGCATATCTAACGACGGACATGCGCTCATGTTTTTCCTCCCAAAAAGGCAACAAGCTAACCCCTGATCACCACGCCACCGTTGTTCGGGTCGTCCGTCCGCGTCGTCGTTTCAAAGGTCGGCGATCGATCCGCCGTTCGGCCGTCCGTCGGGCCGAACTAAGAAGCCGCACCTCAAAGGGTTTGTCAGCCTCGTTCAGCAGCTTCAGCCTTGAATTGAACTTTGGCCGTGGCTCTGAACAGGATTCAAAAAGAGCAACTAGGAACGCCAGCTTGGCGAAAGTTTTACTGTTAAATAGAAACCTCTTCCCCTAAAAAGGGAGATAAGGGCCAGTCACTAGTGGGTCGTCTAATGAAACGAGGATAACAGGTCAATGCACTAAGAAATCCCAAAGCAAGTGGACAACATAATACCGCATACCCAAACCTGGTGATATATACCTTGGGTTTGCCCATTGCAAAACCTTGCAAGAGGATGAACAAGCGCATAAGCGCATAGAATTGCCAGGCCGCATGACTCACCGACCGTATTACTCACCTTCGCAACCGCAGAGGCCGTGTCGATGGAAATCCGACGGGATGGGCTTGGGCTACAACGGATCCGCTGTGGTTAAAACATGTCAAAAACCTCATGTTCTTAGCAGGTTCGAAGTAAGCACCGAAGCGCTACTTGGTTCGAAGTAGAATTCCCAACAGATTTTGGGCATAATTGTTGGTGTTCTATAAAGGTTGTAATTTGGGGATATGCGGGGTGCTGGAAATTTGGGATTTTGGACAAGCATGTTCTGTGGTTGTCCATCTCCTTCTACCTGATTCTACCTCCGTGTCCTCGATCACTGTGGTCAAATATGCACTATATACATGCAGTGTTTGGTCTGACTTTTCTGTATACCTGATCTGTTTTCAACCACCGCATGCGTCAGGGGATGACCAAGTGTTCCGGAGACAGGGTCGCGCTATAGTAGCTTTGTGTTTTGATCCCCGCTTGGGTGTGACCCTTGTTTTCTTGGGCTGTACGTTTCGGAAAGGGAGGACCAAGAATCAAGACCCAACTAGAAGTAGGAAATGTTAGGAAATCTGGCCCAAATGTGAGCTGCCCCCAATGCTTGTCCCTTTGAGCCGCACAAGAAGCCGCTATCAAGATCAATAGGTGAGTTGCTCGTGAGAGCTGGATTGGAACGAACCTTGGCCATGTTCCTTGGAATTGAATCAAATCGGTGTTGTCAAGTTCAATTTCCCCATAATAGGTGGATCCAAGCGAAGATGATTTCAAGAAGAGATGGCTGAAGCTTGCGCATCATGCGGAGCTGTGCTTCATTTGGAATTCACCACTATAGCATAATTTGATCACGTCACTGCTGCAAATGCATGCTGCCAAGAAGGAGCCCTACTACAATAACGATATTCAGCAGGAATAGTCGCCCCCGCTTACAAACAGAACATATCTTTCATCCGTGATCCTCCTCACCTACGAGATGGATTTTTGTTGACGCGACGAATCGAGGCGGGACGCCACTCCGTATAAGGCGACGAGGGTTGTGTCCAAACACGACGGTCGCGATGCAACACCGAAAGAAAACTCTAGGGAGCCCCTAGTAGCGTCCTTGCTCCTAGTAGCGATGCCAGGAGCCCCTATAGTAGCTTTGCCCTTTGTTACTAGTAGCTTCTTGTTCCTAGTAGTAAGGCTCACATGTGCTCTCTCCTTTCCTCCAATAAGAAATCAAAACAAAGCGTCCCAAATAGCGACAATGTATGCAGCACGGGCCCCCAAATCAGCTCGCCTGTCAGCCGCGGATAGGCTGGAAGGATCTTCGCCCCGGTGCCCCCGTCGCCACCGTCGAGCCCCCCGGTGGATCAGAGGCATGGCACGGAGGCAGAAAAGAAAAATCCCTCCCGATCTTGAGCCAAAATGGCATCAAGATCAGGAGTAACCCCTACATGTTTCAAAACCCTAAATGTCCCTACCCAACCAACCATTCATTTTGGGGAAATAAAAAATCATTTAAAAAGTTATCAAAAGTAGCAATTGTAATGGGTGAAAATAAGAGATTGTGACTAGTAAACTCATCAAGAGCAGAGACTTCAGTAGACAGTTCATCAAACATGTTTCAGCAGAAAAATTATCAAAAGTAGAGATTTTAAGGGGGAAGGCATCAAAAGTAGAGGTTTTGACTAGAAAAGTGCATCAAAAGTAGAAGTTTTGATAAGAAAAGTCCTTAAAACATATTTTAATAGAGATTTCAATAGGCAAGTCATAAAAAGTAAAGATTTCGATAGAACAGGCATCACGATAGAAATGTCTTCCATATTCATCAAAAATAGCGATGTTACTAGAAAATGTTGACCAGAAAAGTCATCAGGAGTGGCGCATTGGGAATTCTCTTGCTTTTGGTGGTCTGTGTGGTTCTCAAGGGGAAATGCATTACAAGTAGAGATTTTGTCCAGAAGTGTCATCAAAAGCAAAGAATGCACTAGAAAAATCATCAAGAGAGAGAGTAAAACAAACACAATCCGACATCGGTACAAAAGCCAAAAGCCACACAGAAGCCAAAAGCCACACAACCCAAAAGCCACACAGAAGCCAAAAGCCACAAAAGCCAGAAGCTACAAAAGCCAGAAGCCACAAAAGCCACAGAAGCCAGGAGCCACCAAAGCCAGAAGCCACAAAAGCCACCAAAGCCACCTAACTCCTAACCACTGAAACACTAGACGACGAGTGGCCCGAAAGCATTTTTCATCACGTAGGAGGTCAGAGTGTGAGTTATCTGTTAATAAGTGTTCTGTGTGAAGTGTGAAGTCGAGTGAGTTGAGGTTGTGTGTGGGTTTCTGTGTGTGTATCTATGTCCGTGTGTATATGAGTCTCTGTCTGTGTGCGCGCGTGTCCGAGTAAGTTGAGGCAGTGCGTGGGTCTCTGTGTGTGATGTGTGTGTGAGTCCCTGTCTGTGTGCGTGTGTCCATGTCTGCTGCGCGCAGGCCTCCCAAACCCCCCACCGGCGGCCAAGCGGTGACAGCCCAGCTCATCGTCTTGAGCATTTGAGCTGCTGGTAAGGGGAGAAGCAGCGTGCACGCCTCCAGGAAATCTCACTGAAAAAAGCGTGCTGGAAGGAAGACAGAAAATTGCCGAGGCAGGTGCGCAACAAGTTTGTCGAAGCAGTGACCTGTCAGAGGAGATGCGTCCATCGACATACGATCAGAGGTAACGTTTCCTTCACTCCAGGACACAGCGTTTCTAGGATGTAGTTAACCAACCATTATGCTTGTCATTGACTAAATCACTGTCTCAAAGAAAAACGTGACAAAGTAGCATGAGGTGACGCACAGCAGGCACTGCAGATGTTTAGCGTAGTCTCGCTGTTCGGCTCGTGAACGAAGTAGCGCGCAGGCCTCCCAAACCCCCCACCGGCGGCCAAGCGGTGACAGCCCAGCTCATTGTCGTGAGCATTTGAGCTGCTGGTAAGGGGAGAAGCAGCGTGCACAGCTGCAGGAAATCTCACTGAAAAAAGCGAGCTGGAATGAACACAGAAAATTGCTGAGGCAGGTACGCAACAAGTTTGTCGAAGCAGTGACCTGTCAGAGGAGATGCATCCATCGATATACGATCAGAGGCAACGTTTCCTTCACTCCAGGACACAGCGTTTCTAGGATGTAGTTAACCAGCCACAATGCTTGTCATTGACTAATTGACTGTCTCAAAGAAAAACGTGACAAAGTAGCATGAGGTGACACACAGCAGGCACTGCAGATGTTTTAGCATACTCTCGCTGTTCAGCTCGCGACTAGTCTTTGTACACAGAAAAGATAGTGTATGTCTAGTACTTGTTGCGCTTCCGCAGAACGACGTCCACACAGGATTTGTCAGGAAGAAGTCACGGTATGAGACATGCAGTTGGTTATCATGTGAACATCTTGTTATTTTTTCACCTCCATTCAGGGTCTTTGCCTGGTCTGGGTCTAGCGCGTCGACCCGAAGCAGATCTGGATGGTGTAGGCATCTGTGAAGTTGCGGCTGTTGTTCCTCACCCTGACCACTCGCCAAAACTGCCAGGTTTCTCCATGGGCAACCCAGTGTCTGGTTTCTATGGACTGGTTTGGCATCTTTCATGGATGAGCTCTGGCTGGTTGTCATGGTATGTCCTGCTTCCATAGGTGTGACGTGTTCAGTCTAGTGTGTCGAGTCCGTGATCTGTTAAGTGTTCAGTGTGAAGTGTTAAGTCGAGTGAGTTGAGGCAGTGTGTGGGTCTCTATGTGTGTATCTATGTCTGTGTGTGTGTCCGAGTGAGTTGAGTCTGTGTGTGGGTCTCTGTGGGACACTCCTATAGGACACTCTTATGGGACGCGCTTAAGGGACACTCTTGCGAGACACTCTTGTGGGACACGGTTGTGGGACACTCTTGTGGGACACTCATACGGGACACTCTTGTGGGACACTCTATCTGGGACACTCTTGTAGGACACTCTTGTGGGTCACTCTTATAGGAAGCTCTTGATACCAGAAATCATTCCGCTCACCAGCGACACGCCGCGTTTACGCCAGTATGTTTCGCGCTCCCCGGTAAACATGTCACATGATACCACAAATCATCCCGCTCACAAGCGACACGCCGCGTTTACACAGTTTACTACCAAGCCACACGCGTACTAAAGTTGTACTACAACGTCGCCAGTGCTCATCTTCCAGCTCCCCAGATACTCCGCGTACTAAAGTTGTACTACTACGTCGCCAGTTCTCATCTTTCAGCTCGCCAGATACTCCGCGTACTAGAGTTGTACTACAAAGTCGCCAGTTCTCATCTTCCAGCTCTCCAGACACTCCGCGTACTAAAGTTGTACTACAAAGTCGCCAGTTCTCATCTTCCAGCTCCCCAGATCCTCCGCGTACTAAAGTTGTACTACAAGGTCGCCAGTTCTCAGCTTCCAGCTCCACAGGTTGCTCCGCGTACTAAAGTTGTACTACAAAGTCGCCAGTTCTGAGCTTCCAGCTCCACAGATTGCTCCGCGTACTAAAGTTATACTACCAAGTCACCAGTTCTCATCTTCCAGCTCTCCAGATACTCCGCATACTAAAGTTGTACTACAAAGTCGCCAGCGCTCATCTTCCAGCTCCCCAGATACTCCACGTACTCAAGTTGTACTACCACGTCGCCAGTTCTCATCTTCCAGCTCTCCAGATACTCCGCATACTAAAGTTGTACTACCAAGTCACCAGTTCTCATCTTCCAGCGCCCCAGATACTCCGCGCACTAAAGTTTTACTACAAAGTCGCCAGTTCTCATCTTCCAGCTCCCCAGATACGCGCGCGCATGGGACAAATCGCACTCTCGCCTGCACTTCGCGCACTCGACACGCAGAGGGTTGCGCGCGGACGGGGTAAATCGCACTCTCACCTGCATTTCGCGCACGATCTCCGCAGAGGGTTGCGCGCGGACCGGGTAAATCGCACTCTCGCCTGCACTTCGCGCACTCGACGCGCACCATCTCCGCAGAGGGTTGCGCGCACACCGGACAAATCGCACTCTCACCTGCATTTCGCGCACTCGACGCGCACGATCTCCGCAGAGGGTTGCGCGCACACCGGACAAATCGCACTCTCGCCTGCATTTCGCGCACTCGACGCGCACAGTTTCCGCAGAGGGTTGCGCGCAGGCCGCACCAATCGCACTCTCACCTGCATTGCGCGCACTCGACACGCACGATCTCCGCAGAGGGTTGCGCGCAGACCGGACCAATCGCACTCTCGCCTTGCATTTCGCGCACTCGACACGCACGATCTCCGCAGAAGGTTGCGCGCGGACCGCACCAATCGCACTCTCGCCTGCACTTCGCGCACTCGACACGCAGGATCTCCGCAGAAGGTTGCGCGGGCACAGATCCAATCGCACTCTCGCCTGCATTTCGCACACTCGACACGCACAATCTCCGCAGAGGGTTGCATTTTCGGTTGACGCTGTTCGTCCCACCCTCCGCCTTTAAGAGAGAATTTATAGAGTGGGGAAATGTTTTTAATTTTTCATTACGACATCTCCCGTGCAAGTTTTCCATACTCACACTTGCATACTCATTGCATACTCATCATTACACTTGCATACTTTTGCACTTGGATACTTGCCGTTGGATGCTTTCACTCTTCCACTTACACTGGGGTACGTATAGTGTTCATGTGTTCATGTTCATGTGTTCATGTTTTCATGTTCAAGTGTAAGTGTGAAAGCGTAAGTGTTCAAGTGCAAGTGTGGAAGTGTCAGTGTGTAAGTGTAAGTGTCGAAGTGTCAGTGTTCAAGGGATTTTCCGGAAGAACCCTTCGCAATGCTTTCGGGAAAAAATATCACTCTAAAAGAATAGAATTCCCCCTAAAATCACCCTCCTGTCTAAAGTGTCATATGCTAAAGTAGAAGGGGTTCCACTCGAAACAACCATAAGAATTGATACAGCCTGCTGGAGCACAATCCTCTTCCTCACCCCCTGTTCTTTACGATATGTATTTCCCGATGTCTATCAATCCTGGATTCCTATGCTGCTCAGCAATCTATCTATCTCTGATTGACAGGTGAGACATGAGCTTGCTGCTTCTGCTGGGGCGCCCACGGATACCCTTGCCACAGCCTTGGCGTTTCACCCAGAAGAATGCGACGAATTCTTCAGAGGATTTTCATGTGGCTGAAACACAGATGAGCTCGGAGCTCAAGTTGATAGGCTTCCAAATCCACAAAGAGCTTGGATTCTTCTCTCTGGCTTGTGACCAGGCCGTGCTTTCCTCCGGCAAAGTAAAGCCAGCTGGCCTCAGGGTGAAGAAAGTACAACAGCAATGATGTCAAGCACTTCAAGTCCACGCAAGAATTAATGTCACATAATTGTATACCTTTTCTGGCAAATTCAACGGAGAGACGAGTAAGCTAAGACACTAAGGCGTTCATCGAATATCTTGCATCTCATGAATGGGTACTTGATATTACTTGATTACGCGTTGTGGGCCTTAAAGACAGATGTCGTCCACTCTGTTTCTGAGCGCCCCGCAGGATGTTGTAATCCTTTGGAAATTGACGCTTCATCCTACCAGAGCACAAGGTGATGGGACAGGTCATGCGCAGGTCACATCTATCGAATGGATCTGCAAGTCTAATTACACAAAGAATGACTACATGTTGAGTCCAAGTTCATCCGTTGGAATCTCTGTCCAGAAGCTACATAAGGCTCAGCGCCCCCAATCGCTCCTGTAGATGTTTTTGCCCAGAAGGTCCTGATGAAGGAAGCATGTTTTTCGCCCCAGCTGAACTGTGAATTATCAAGTGACAATACATCGAAGCACAAAGAGCACGGAGAAATGGAGAAAGAAGAACCTTAACCCTGCTAAAACTCTGTTTCCTTCCTGTTAAGCTTCAAAGCTTGGATTGTCCTTTCGACCCAACTGCCAGGAGCCAGGGAAATGGTTCGCTTTCTGGTAGGGATTGAAGCCACGGAGCCTGACAACATCCGGCGTTCCCCTGGCAGTTCTGGCGTCCAAGGCCCGCCGCCCAACGACTGCCAAGAAGCATCTCTGGTGCAGGATGTGGTCCTTGGAGATCCATGGAGTCCATGAAGCATAAAAAGGTCGTCGGATCTACTAGCGAACCTTGTTACTACTAGTAAGGCACCTGTTACTACTAGCGTGGCACTTGT